TGCCTCGAAACACGGTGGATGTTGGAAACAAGGGCCTCGCCTTTCAGACTGGAAAGGCAGAAGTAGCACCAGTAAGAACGGAGGGATGGGGATTTGCTGAGGAGATACAAGGAGGACAGTGGGGAACTGTTGGTGATTATGCCGTAACGATGAAAAGTCCGGAGGAAGTGGTAGGCTTGAAGTATTACGGAAGAAGCGTTTGCCTTCCTGTTAAAGCGATAAAACCGCTTTCACATATCATTGTAGAGTAACCATAGGGAGCTCAACGCGCAGCGCAGCAAGATGTCCCCGCACCTGTGCTGAGGAAGGAGGAGCTGCCCAAGGTGTTACACAAGAGCTGAAAGCAGTTGTGGACAAGGACAGTATGCAGAGCTTGGCGTGTGTGCTGCAAGTCTAGAGTTCACACAGCAGATAAAGAATCTTTTCCAGAATCCCAGCAGAATGAAAGTAAATGGAAAATCCTCCAGAAATTAGGAGGTAATTCTTGCATAGAGTAGAAGATAGAAAATTATGCAGGGCTGGGTGTAAGGAGCCTTTAAAGATTCAAGATTAAGTTTTGCCTGTTCAGTATAAGTTCCTGTTGTTACAGAAGTATTATGTGTTACAGATCAGACGTTTTCTACAACATGTATGTGTTGTTACATATTTAGAAGGAAAATTCGAAACACTTAAGGGAATCTTTGTTGGTTTTTGTTTTAGTTACTAAAAAAAAGAGTTACTTGGAAGGAGAAAAAGTATAAAGAACTTGAATAGTGGGAGTAAACCACTGCAGTTATAGTTAGCATTGCCTGGTGATAGTAGCCCCAAAAATATTTGTGTGGGGCAATAATCTATAAGCTAATACAGTTTTACCTTGTATATGTTATTGTATGCACTGTTTTTTTTCTGGTGCAGTCATCTTGGAAATGTGCCCTTCACGCAGGATACAAAGTAATTTTTTACAATAACAGCAAAAGTACTGTGCTGAATTAGGATAATTTTTCATCTCAACCAATTTCTGTCTGGTTGATAGTAGTCAGAGCTACAATTTTGGGTTGGTTTCTTTTTTAAAAAGACTAAATGATTTGCGTTTGCATTTGCCACTATCATTACTAGTTTCCCAAACTGCACAACTAGATCTTGAATAGATGGGATTACTTTGCTTTCCTTTTGCTTTCTGAGAAGGTCTGGTTTGGAGAAAAATCTAATTTTTGATGGTGCAGTTGACAGCCCAGGTGCCTCATTCTCTGGCTTTGTTTCTCTTTAGGAATAGTCTCTTCTTTACTGTCTTCCTGTATATAATATGTTGCAATAAAAGGGAAATGCTATTTTATGTTAAGAAGAATTTAGAACTCTCACTATATTTATTAAAGTTTTGATCCCCATTATTGTGTAGTTTTCCTTAATTAGTTTTCTGCTTGCAATTGTGTATGTCCAAAAATGTTCCATCTTCGCTTCTGTGTAGTTTCAGAAGACAACGTACTTGCCTCATTAAGTACCTGCTTGGTTCTCTTCCATGTATACGTTAAAGCAACTGCACTTATGAATACGTAGTTTGTAATCAGAGTTCTTCAAATTTCTCATTTTTTTCAATGACACCAGAAAAGGTTGGCTGCTTTCCAAATTACTGGGTGCTCTTGGGGGAAAGCAATACAAACAGCTAGTTACAAGACTTGGTCGCTCTTTATACATGGAAGTTTTATAAACTATAACAAAAAGGCTACATTTCCACAACATCACATAAGTCTGCAGCGCAGACTGTATCAAACACTTTTGTATGTTCTGTTAGTTTACTGAACGTTGAATGTGAAACTAAGTGAAAACACACACACACACACAAAGCAGTAAAAAACTATATTCTAGAACAAGGCCTAAATATTCTGGGCCACATTTTCACCTCATGTACTAAGGCAGATCTAGGTGAACTTCCTCTGATCTAGAAGAGGTTTAAGACTTTCATGCTGGGGTAGTTTAAGGATGTGCTGATTGGGATGTAACTTCAAATTTTTAATTAAAACTACAGATAAGTATGAGCTGGTTGGTAGATCCTTTAATAAAATAAGCCTTGGAAGCTAGCATATAGACTTAGTTGCTTGTCCGCACTTCTGTGCTGCTAGTGGAGTTTTAATTTGTATTTGACTAAAGCTGAAAACTGCTTTGGAATCCATAATCATTCCTATGATCCCTCAACCCTTATAGCTAGAATCTTGCGTTAAAAACAAATCTTGAAATGGCACGTATGCTTAAGCATAAATGCCTGTTCATTGCATGTCGATAGGATATTTGTCTAGTACCTTTAATGTATTACTGTAAAGAAGGCCAAAATTGGATCTTGATTGTTTTGTCGCAAATGGATCTGAGCAATAATACTGCAGTCTGCTAACAGAACTCCACGTGCGAGTAAAGAAGCAATACCTGTTAAGTAAAACAACTAAGTATGGAAGTGTGATATACAAATAGTGGTTTCTTGTTCAAACAGTTGATGAACTTTTCAGCTACATGTTTTTCTGTCCCGTAAATCTGATTAGGATAGTTTAAAGCAAACAGTACCAGAGCTATATATACTGCTATACCAGAGCTATATATACTGCTGTCGGCACAGCAGTAATTGTTCTCTGGAGAAATTTGAATACTCTGGGAAAGGAAACAATGAGAGACTTACTGTCTTATTGATACAGGCTGGAATAACTAAAAAGTTGATTATTTGGCTTTGGTAACTCAAATGTAATTTGAACTGTATTTGCAGCTTGTATCAAACTGGAACAAGAACAAAATCTTTGTGAAAATGTCACTGTTGCACAGTGAAAAAAATACATCTCAACATTACTTTCAAAAATCACTCAATTTTCTTTGGATTCTAGTCAAAAAGATATGGTAAGGGAATAGAGACTTATAAATAATTGCACGTGTATATATAGGTATACTCTCATGTGGTAAAAATAGTCTCTGTATGAACCCGCCTGGTGCAGTAAGCTTAGCATTGCCGTCAAACTAGCATCTAAAAGTCTCATTTACTTCTGAGGGCAGACCTCTAGCTCTTAACTTACAAAATAAGCCTCGGACCAAGTTGCTGTGACGGGAGATGAGGCGGGTGCGTACCCACGGGCTCAGCAAACCTCGCTCAGTTCTCGCCAATAGGAGTGAGTGTCTTAAGAAAAACGCCAGTGTAGCGGCGTTCCTCTCCGGCGATTTTAGAAGCTTCGAAATTCGAGGTTTAAAGATAAAAACGAAACGGGCTCTGTTTGCACGGGCGAGCTCGCCCCTCCCGCGCGGGCCCCTCTGGCCTCCCC